TTTAGATGTGGTGAGGACAACTTTCTGCAGTTCTAACTGAAAACCAGAAAGAGGAAGGGGATTTGAGTGACTGAATGTAGCGTGGTTGAGGCCGGCTGGTTGATCTACTGGGATTTTCATCCACAAGCATCCCTGGAGTTTACTGGGATTAGTACAAAACAAAAATAAATTGGGTGAGCAGCAGTTGTGAGGTTGAAAATGCTTTGTTGATGTCAGAGGTCAGAGAAGAATGAGCCGACTGACAGAGAGGCACCGGTGGCAAAAACATGCACACGTTACAACTAAGGTCTACAGAATAACATCTCTGAACCACAACATACTGAACCTTGAAGCGGATGGACTCCAGCAGCAGAAGACCACACCAGGTGTGTCTCCCGATAGCTAAGAACAGGAAACGGATGCTACAATTCACGCAGGATCACCAGAACTGGACCAGAAAAGACCGGAAAACCTTTCCTGGTCTGAGGAGTCTGGATTTCAGCTGCAACAATCCAATGGTCGGGTCAGAACTTGATGTCACCAACATGAAAGCATGAATCCATCCTAGAGCCCTGCACTGAAGCCCTAGGCCCTCGGGTCGGCCCGGCCCGAGGGCCGGGCTTTGGGCCAACGACTGTGTAATTACCTCGGACACGGGCCGGGCTGGGTGCCTTCATTTTTAATTGAATTCATAAAACATAAAAATAAAACAAAAACTGAAACACTTAAACGCAGCAGCACCTGCCTGCTTCTCACGCACCGGCACCGTTAACTCAGTTAAGGTCTGTGTGGTTTATAAATGCGCCTATATAAACAAATTCTCAAACTGCTGATTGAAACATGTGCCCCTGTTCTAATATGTCATTTTATGTCCACTTTGATGTCAGAAACCATTCGTTTATTCTCATGAAAACGGCAGCATTCTATTTTTCTGTGAATAAATTTGCTCTGCAGTTAAAAAAATACAGCATTCATTGCAGTTTTTTTTTCTAACTGGAGAGCGCATTTTCAGAGCGGCAGATTACATTTACAAACGCATCCAATTAATATAGTGTTCGTAAATTTCATCTGCCGCTCGAAAAATACGCTGTTAGAAAAAAAGCTGCATTTATGCTGTTTTTCTTTCTTTTCTTTTTTCTTTTTTTATTTTTTACTGCAGAACGTTTCTCGTAGATAATTAGAATGCTGAGCATTCTATCACGCTAAAACATTAAGAAAGGTTAAAAAAAATTCGGGCTCAGGCTCGGGTCGGGCCAGAGAATCCTGAAAACCTTTTCGGACCAGGTCGGGCTGGGGCTCCACCCCCTCGGGCCGGACACGGGCTCAGATTTTAGGCCCGTGCAGGGCTCTAATCCATCCAGCCTTGTACAAATGCTTCAGGCTTCTGGTGGTGTAATGGTAGTGGGGAGATGTTCTTGTCCCACTTTGGACCCCTTAGTACCACCTGAGCCTGGTTTAAATACACAAGTATTGTTGGTGACCCTTTATGACCACATGGACCCATCTTCTTAAGGCTACCTCCAGCAGGATATTCCACCATGCCACAAAGCTCAAATCTTGGCCAAGTCCAGAACCTTTAGAATGTGTTTGAATGGGAAATTCACACCAGGGATGCAGCTGTGTAATGCTGCCATGCCAGTAGGGTGGCAGAACCTCTGAAGACTGTTTCTAACACCCTGTAGACTATGTCATGAAGAAGAGAGGCAGATCTGAGGGGAAAAAGGCTATCCAACCCAATACTAGCAAGGAGTACCTAATAAAGTGCCCTGTGAGTACATGTTCCCACACGTTCATACTGGCGGTAACCCTTTAAATAGATTATTTAACATGCAAATAAAGATGCATAATTTCCCTTCACCATATCAAGTCTTCTTTCCCCGTTTCCAAGATGCTCTCTCCTGCTCCGAGTACAAGCTGCCTTCCCACACCGGAGATGAATATTCATATCCCCAGCAATTACCCGGGCGAATCACGCTACAGCACTATCATATGCAATGGCTGTCATCAAAGAAACGAGGGTGTGTGCGGCCAAGTGTGTCTAACATTGAGGATGAGTAAGTGTACATACAGAGAGGAAGAACAGCAGTTGTAGCATCAAATGCAGTCACAGCTTTCTAACATTTGAACTAGAAAACAGAAGAGGAAATGATGCGATGATGAAAAGTCTTGACTGAGCCAAGACACCGTGAGATGATTTCTAACAGCGAGTTTTGCACAAGAGATGCTTCTAAAAGTTAGTGTCGACTCCGAGGGTGGCATTGCTCTTGTGTGAAGCTTCTTAGACATAAAACAACTTCGGCGAACCAGAAGCACAACAACAACACTCCTTAGCTGAAAGAAAATATGCTCCCCTTTTCTGTGAACAATAACAGAGTTGGGGAGAAATGTGAGCGGCGATGTGTGCGGAACATTTAGAGGTGACTGAATTGATCCCCGGCGTTGAGAGGCTCAGATTTGAAAACAAAAATCTGCAGGCATCATGCGTTTGCTCTGGCACGCAAGTAAAACCTGCAAAAGTGATATGCAATCAACAAGCAGGCAGCCAAGGACACACAGCCACAGAGTGACTGCAGTCAGAAATAAACCGGTCTAAATTTTCTGCAATAACACACTGTCTCATTAAACACACACACACACACACACACACACACACACACACACACACACACACACACACACACACACACACACACACACACACACACACACACACACACACACACACACACACACACACACACACACTGGGCCGTCCTCTCCTGCTGTCATATCCTCCATTGATAATAATGACAGTGATGAATATAGCTGGAACAGAGCAAGTCATAAATCACTGAGCCTTGCCCCCTAACTCTGACTCACCGTGTGTGTGTGTGTGTGCGTGTGTGTGTGTGTGTGTGAGAAAGGTGGGGGAACTTGTTGTGGGCTACGCATCACTGAATATGTCCACTGACACCTTAATGTGCTTGGCTTGTCTGAGGAACCCCCACAGGCAACCAGCTACGCACGCACACACGCACGTCTGTCTTTCTATCATAGTGAGGACCCTCCATTGACTTCCATTCATTTATGTGATTCCACTATGTCTAACCCACACCCCAACCCTAACCATAACCAATGCTGATCTATTCCTAACCCTAACCTTAACTAAAACTTAATTCAAACTATACCTCTAACTAGTATAGTAAGCTTCTGGTAAGCTTCTAAAAAAAGTTAGGACCAAAAAAAATTTCCCCACTTTGAAAAATGTCCTCACATTGTAGGGAAAATGGTCAAATGTAAGGATTTAAAAAAGCAGGGATGGGGGCACAGCGGTAAAGATGGAGGGCAGAGGATAAAGATGAGGCTAAGACAGAGGGTGAGAGGAGGCAATTGCCCCCTCTAGTCATCAGTGCCCGAGACGGGTTTAGCTGGAGGGTCTGGCAAATGCAGCACCCTATTCTGCTTAACCCAAGCCTGCTGACCACTAATGGGGATCAAACACAGTGAGATGAAGTTGTGTGTGTGTGTGTGTGTGTGTGTGTGTGTGTGTGTGTGTGTGTGTGTGTGTGTGTGTGTGTGTGTGTGTGTGTGTGTGTGTGTGTGTGCATGCGCACTGGAGGGAGCTCTGCAAAAAACCCTATAGGTTTGATGGAGACAGGATGTCCTTGAGTTTTGAGAGCTATTCTGGTATATTTTGTGTGTGTGTGTGTGTGTGTGTGTGTGTGTGTGTGTGCGTGCGTGCGTGCGTGCGTGCGTGCGTGCGAGAGAGAGAGAGAGAGAGAGAGAGAGAGAGAGAGAGAGAGAGAGAGAGAGAGTTTGAACTTAAATTCCGATTTTGAACTAGAGTCTTTAAAGAACATATGTGTGACGGTTTCCCCTCATACGAGTGTTATGCCTCCAGCACGTGTGTATATTGGGGTGAGGAACCTTTATTCAGCTAGTTTGTGCTTTTCCACCATCGTGAACCTGCTAGAAGTGACCTACATTTACTCTACAATGAAAAATAAGTCACATTAATCAGCATCCCTCACTCATGGTCCCAAAAGAGAGCAAAAGCAATATTTTACCACAGCTAGGAAGGAGAACTAGAGGTGGTTGTTGTTAAGCATTAAGCATTTTTTTATTTTAGACTTTTTGAATGAAAAATGCCACTTCTCACTTGGAGGAGAAACTGTCATCTTGTGAGAGTAGATCATAAAAAAAATAAATAAAAAAGAGTACATATTTCAAACTATTTCCACAGGTATGTTCTGCTCCACTAAGACGCCACACGGCACGGACATGTGCCTCATTTCTATTTAATGTATCAGCCGATTTCACTGCAGATTATACAGAGATGTTCCTTACGACATACAAGACCGCTTTCCTCTGTCTCCACTCCCTCCATCTCTGCCTCCTTCACTCACCGCACTAATGAGACAGAAAAATGAGGGGAGCAGCTGGACCTGGGGACGCGACATGCCCCCCTCCACCTCCCCACTCCCAAAGCCTTAGTCCATGCATCTCACCATTAAAGTAGAACAATGTTCACCAGTGGTGGGTCTGCTAATGACCACATGGACACACGCACGCACGCGCACACACGCACATGCACACGCACGCACGCGCGTGCACACACACACACACAACCTCCATTTATGTATGTGATGTCTTGATTAGAAGCGAACTGGGAGGGTAGTAATGTGTAGGTGGTGTGTTTTTGTGGAACTGAATCCTGTGGGAATGTGTTGTATGGTGAATGTGTAGCAGGTCGGTAGGTTAAAAGATGCACAAATTATGGCATATGAAGGTGAAGTCTGCGGTGGTCCAAAACAATTAAAATATGGTGACATTTATACATTAAATCATATGGATGCTGTTGGAGAGAGGGTGTGTGTGACGGAGGAGGAGGCGGCTCAGATGTGAGACGATTCTCTAAAGGAAGTAGAGAAAAGTAGAAGTGGTTGTACGTTTGGTCTATCATGAACATGCCTGCTAGTAACTGACTGAATGAGTGTGATAATTCCCACGAACCTTCAAAGCATCACCAACAGCAAACTCACCTGTCTGTCGGTCAGAGTGTAGATGTACTGCAGGTCGGGGCTGAACAGCATGTCTCGCAGTAACGGACTTCCATTGTCGCTGATGGTCACCTTCTCGTACAGAACAGCAGGACGGTTGGTGCTCACAGAGTTCACCAAAATCTATAAAAAAACACATAATTACATTTACAATTAATTCAGCAACTGCACTTACGTTGTCAAGCTTCAACAACATGCACTGCATCACATCTATCATAGAAAGCCCAAACAGAAGTGCCTGAAATGATTCAGCTATTTAAACGTGTTTACGGAGCATGTCTCAGGACATGAACCACACGCGCTTCACACATAAAACATAGGGACACGAGCAAAACAACAAGCTAAACAGCATAAATGTAGACGTGAAAAATCATCCAGTCAATGCTAACATACACAATATTATGTTAACCTAAGCTAGGTAATCTGTTTACTTTTAATATACGTCACACAAACGGTTTCCCTTTAGTTTTTCTCATCTCTGCAGCAAAATAAATGAAATGCCAGATTTATCTATAATAACTCCCCGTAATACTCCAACACTCCCTCTGCATTAAAACCTAATACACCTGTAGACATGCACCGTCTCAGAGCAGAAACCAACATGCACACACATCAATGCTGCAGACACTCAGATTGTATTTGTGAGCTTCCAACAATAATTTGCCCAGAGTTGTAACGTAATGGTGCAGATACACGATAGGAGATGGGCTGGCCGTGAGCCAAAGTCAACTCAGCAACAAATGAAAAGTGCAGAGCGACATGGGGAGGGCGCGTAGCAGCTCTCTATTAGTAAGCTTTGTATGCTTGTGTTGCTATCGGCCCACAGTGACAAGAGAAGGACAGAAGACAAAGATTCATTCATCCTGGATGCACGTGTGGACAAACACACAGAGACAAACCATTAATGTCCAGATGGAGGAAGGTAGGATGAAAGAGTGCAGACAGACACACAGAGATAATACTGTATGCACTTTGATTTGCACGCACACACACACACACACACACACACACACACACACACACACACACACACACACACACACACACACACACACACACACACACACACACACACACACACACACACACACACACACACACACACACAAGATGAAACGTCTGGATGCAAAAAACGCATTTTAGGACATGAAGAATGTCTTTACAATCTTCCCAAAAGAAACCAGAGGCAACAATCCTATTATATTTCAGTGTGTGTGTGTGTGTGTGTGTGTGTGTGTGTGTGTGTGTGTGTGTGTGTGTGTGTGTGTGTGTGTGTGTGTGTGTGTGTGTGTGTGTGTGTGTGTGTGTGTGTGTGTGTGTGTGTGTGTGTGTGTGTGTGTGTGTGTGTGTGTGTGTGTGTGTGTGTGTGTGTGTGTGTGTGTGTGTGTGTGTGTGTGTGTGCTACAAAAAGATAGCGAGATAGAGTGAAAGAGCTCATATGGCTGTGATAAAGCACTGGAGATGAGAGGAAATATGGATGTTATTATCTAGATAATGGGCCAGTAAACAAAAGATACACTTCATCCACAGACGGCTCACATCTAGATGTGTGTGTGGGTGATACAGAAGCAAACTGCCACACTGTTTTAGACAACAAGTAAAAAGGATATCAGCTTTTGTTCTGAGCTCTTTGATTCATTTTGTAGCATTCTTCTGCAAACCTGAGGCATTTCCAGTTCACCGGATAATGACCAGTTCATGCCCAGACTGGTTTTCTACACACAAAGAGAAGATAAGAGGAAATGAAAGACAGTTGGCCTTTCTGATTTCTGCTTGCTTCCACCTGCTTGTCAGTCTGCGCTCCATCTCATCGCACTGTTTTGTGTTTTCCTCAGATTTCAACATCAGCCTGAGCTAATCTCTACAAGCAAAAATATCAACAATTAATAATACCTCAGTTTTCTCACTTCCCAGACAAAGACTCAGTTCATCTGCAGTGCAAAGATAAAATAAACATGTGCAGCTAAACCAGCAACGATGAAACAGAAAACAGGACGGTGAGGGGGAGAGAGAGCGGTGACGTGTGAAGTCGTCAGTAATAAATCATTTCAATCAATTCATTCTACAGGCCATGCAGCCAAGGTTAGGCCGGGAGAACAAAAGGCTGAGAGAGATATAGTCTGGACCGATGGATGAAGGAATAAGAAGGTGAATGGATGGAATACAAAAAGAATATCTAAACAAATGAAACAGTGAAACGTACAGATTAGAAGAGTTTTAATCCACTAAAAGAGCAGCACAAGCATATTCCATAAACACCTGTAGTGTGTAAACATGCTTTATAAATCCTCTGGTTTATGTTGTTTACGTCTGTGCTCGGCTCGGAGAATGCATATAAACCAGAGAAGAATCAATGCGACAGTCAGTAATGACAGAAGAAGGTGCTGGTGTTTCATTGTTTTTCTCTGCATTGCTTAGCTTTCCACTAAGTGCTTGATGGATGGGTTCACAGAATGATGCTGTGCTTGTGCTTTCTAGAGAAGCGCCACTACTATTCTCTTGTCAACATGTATAATGCAACATTAACAGACCTTAAACACATTAGAGGTTTTGCTATAAGTAAAGGGGCAGAGCAGCGGGAAGGAGGCAAAGTAGAGCGATGAGTGGGATGAGAAAACCAACAGGGAAGTAACTTCCTGCAGAAAAAACAGTGTTTATGGAAAATCTTTAGATTAAAGAATTCAGATTACTTTTAGAGCCTAAGTGAGCTCGGAAAGTCCTTCATCAAAACCCGTCCTTTAAAGGTGTGGTTCACTCATTTAATCATTTCAATTGTAGGAATGAATGCCTTACAAGTCATACTCAGTAGGAAAAAAGCTCAAAGTCGTTTCAGGAACTAGCAAAATGTCACATCAGAGCAGAGCTTACCACAGCAGGATTTGGAGTTTATTTCCTGATATCTGGACATTTCACCTCGGCTGGGGCCAGGCGTGTTGCAAGCTTTTCAAAAGTGTGGGGGATGTTGTAAGTAAGTAAAGTAAGTAAAAGTTTATTTATATAGCGCCTTTCTCAGATATAAATCACAAAGCGCTGTACAACATAATAAAGATCAGGGCAAATACCTCTAACCAATAAAAACATCAGAAAAACAATAGCAGTGATAAACGTAGAAAATAAAATCATGAGTATAAACAAAGTGAAGGTGTGAACCCGAACAAAGCCATCTTTTTGTCTGTGTTGTCTGTGGATGTCATCAGCTGTAAATTGAAACTCAATCTCAATCCAGTAACGGGTCCGCGCATAATTCACAGTAACAAAGTCCTTCCGAAAACATAATTAATATTCACCGATCAGTGCTTAATGTGAGCCGGATCTTGCCGGAACAAGATCAGGGAACTATCGTATTTTGACCGTTCCGGCAACTGTCTGCTAGGATCCGGCAACTCGTGCAACAAACTTGTGCTATTTGCAGGATTAGAATTACGGGTGAGCTATGGAGCTCCTTGAGGCAGTCAACACACCCAGGGGGAGCCCGAAACGATCCTGGTTCTACTGATATTACATTATCTATGTGGACTCTCCAGGGATTATTTAGAGCTGAGAGGCGCAGAGCTCTGATCGCTGCTCCTGACAGATGTGTCCTGAGCACGGCCACAGTAACATTATCAAAGTGTCGCCCACTCAAAAACAAACTTAACACGCGATCGTTTATGTCAGCTCATATTCTTTTATGCTTTCTGTCTTTTATTTGTATCTGATGCGTGTCGCTGCTGCGGTGCGGAGAGCATCACCTGTTTCAGCCTCTGGTGACCACACCAGTGCGGTCAGCGCGCACTCCGCTATATTTGCGGTCAGTAGATCTTCTTGAACTGCAGTTCAAAGGTAACTCATGAGGTGAAAATACATGAAGCCAGGTAGCAGTTTTTCTTTAGGATTGAGAGGAGATGCAGGACGATAAATACAGACAGGACAGAAAAATAGTCAAATAAAAACAAGTTAGTTTTTGTACCTGGTGGTTGCAACAAACAGACCATTGAAGGTAATCAGAAGTGAGGAACAGAAAATGAAATGATTATTTCAATGTTTAGAGCAGCAGGAACTCCGAGAGGCTGCAGGTGCAAGGGGAGTTTGCGGCCGCTGCTCAGGGGGAGGGCGGAGAGGCGCTGAAGCAGGGAACAGTAAAGATGCAAAAACTACCATTGTTAAAAGGTTTCTGCCGATGTCGGGTTTCGAGGAGAGGGAGGGGAAGAAGGAGATGAGGAAACAGAGTGAGTGCAAGGTAGAGAAACCAGACTGGTGTGGAGGTGAGCTAAACGGCTGGAAAAGTGTGGGTGTTTAAACCCCCACATCCCCCACGGGTGCGACGCCCATGGCTGGGGCGGTATTCCGGTAATACCATATACAGCAGGTATTTTAAAATAACCACAGTATCCAGTGTTTCCCTTAGGCTGAAATTGCAGCGCCACGGCTACATAAAGTTTTGAATGCGATGTAACCACGTGACAGCACTGAGAAGACATGGAGAGAGACGGGCACAAAAATGGCAACTCATGCACCAAATGATTCGGGGTCAAAAAAAGACACAACTTCTTCCATTTGGAAGTATTTCCCATTCCAAGTAAAGGATAAAAGAGAGCCGGTGTTCTGTCAATGTGTTTTATAAATAAACAGTGTTAATATTATAAATAAACAGTGATAGTATTATAAACAGTGTTAATATTATCTACTTTATTTTTTCAGTACTCATAGTGTTTGGGACTCAGTTTCTGAACGTGGAGGTAACGGTGCTTGAGGCTTACGTCAATTTTTTATTCGTAACGGGAATACCGTACACCGTGGTAAAACGTGGAGAACATTTAATGGTATCAAAATTTGGACACCGCCCAAGCCTACTCTCACCTCTGAATGGTAACAGCAATGCAACTCTACCACTGACCCTGTGTGCTCTGCAACATTGATGTTTTACCTCCACAAACACAAGTAGAGCTGGGTATTTTAGCTGTAAAATGGGCAAACCAGGTTAAACAATGAAATTACTTTTTGGACTTGGATTCAATTTGATTCTAGGATTGTTTTATAAGAATAGACTCAGGTATGAAACAAGATTTTCAGTCTTCCACACCTTTAATCATCTTTGACATTTGATATTCAGAAACCCTCCCTATCCCCGTAAGTGAAACCAC